CTGGAAATGTTATGCAAAACTATTTTTCCCTGAGAAATCACCTGTGTGCCGCATTTCAGGTGCTGCAAATTACATACTTACCTTTAAGGGGGGAGAAGTGCACAAATTAACAATACGAATATTATTTCATCAGCCGCTTGGGTGGGTTTTCTTTGCAACTTTTAATTCACTGTCAAAAACAGTTTTTAAAGTTTTTTATTACTAAATTACTGATTGGTGTCGGTTCAAACTGTCAAATATTTAACCGCCGTTCCACATCAGAGCTCCAGGTATTTTAATGCCATTAGCCGCACCAACGTTAACCGTTAACTCTGAATGGACTAAACTCACCATGTGTGAAACTGACTACAAACACACGTGTAGGATTGAGGGGTTAGTGGTCCTGGTTCAAGGCTCGAAAAGGACTGGTTTGTGCAACGTTGTTGTTGGACCAAGTCAGGAATCAAACGAGTCTACACTGTAGCGACAACATTTAAACAAAAGTCGTGAAGGATTTCGAAGTATCACATATTTAGAAACGCATTCAGAACTGGTTATCGGTACTTCTTTGTGTTAGAGCTTCTCAATACTCAACATGGGACAACAATGACTCAATATTCAAACTGAATCAGGAGTAAAAGTTCAGCATCGTGACGAGAGAGGAAGAAATGACTTAAGACCAGTCAGGACAGGAGCTTTCACCCTCTATGACAGATGTAGCTGCCGCCGTGAGCCGGTCTCTGAAGGTCTGTTCAGGTTGTTGCTGCCCGGACCTCGGTCCCTGTCGGTGCTATTCTCGAGGTGCCCTACATTTTGATTCCTACAGAAACGGCGACTCGCAATGCCAGGAATTCAAGCCTCGAGGGGAGAGGTGATATATTTGGACATGGAGCTGCATGTTGCCGAGCCCTGCCGTACTTCACTGACGGCTCTGGGCTGTGTTTCAGCAGCGTGTGGGGCCTAGTGGCACACTGAGCACCGCTACAGTACGTCTGACGTTAACTAATTTGCAAGAACGCATGAGTTGCGATATTTTGCCCTTTTTGTATCTCTTTGTAGTCGGTTTGTGTCTTATGTAGTCATTTTGAGTCTCTTTGTAGTCGTTTTGTGTGTCTTTGTGGTTGTTTTGTGTCTCTTTGTAGTCATTTGAGTCTCTTTGTAGTTCTTTTGAGTCTCTTTGTAGTTCTTTTGAGTCTCTTTGTAGTCGTTTTGTGTGTCTTTGTGGTTGTTTTGTGTCTCTTTGTAGTCATTTTGAGTCTCTTTGTTGTCATTTCAGTCTCTTTGTAGTTCTTTTGAGTCTCTTTGTAGTCGTTTTGTGTGTCTTTGTGGTTGTTTTGTGTCTCTTTGTAGTCATTTTGAGTCTTTGTTGTCATTTGAGTCTCTTTGTAGTTCTTTTGAGTCTCTTTGTAGTCATTTGAGTCTCTTTGTAGTCGTTTTGTGTCTCTTTGTAGTCATTTTCTGTCTTATGTAGTCATTTTGAGTCTCTTTGTAGTTGTTTAGCATCTTTTTTGGTTGTTTTGTATCTCCCCTTTTCGTGAGTCTCCCCGTGTCTCTTTGCAGCTGTTTTGCATCTCTTTGTAGCCTTCTTGTTTCTCTTTGTAGTGGTTTTATGTTTCTTTGAGGTCATTTTGAGGCTGACACTTTGGGCCCCTGAGCTTGTGCCCGGTAGACCCCGATCAGTGTTTAGTACATGATGTAAGCTGACATGAACTGACATGATCGGGGTGTTTAGGATGACCTGAGGGTGACGTCACTGAGACTTTACACCCAGAAGATACGGACTCCTCTGAGCTCTGAGTGTCTGATCGGATTCATCCGGGTACAGGACACGATGAACAGCTGACTGATTAACGACTTAGTTCCCGACATCGTCTCCTCTGGCCTCTTGCAACTTGTCAGTAGAAAATCAATAATCAATGCAGCCGAAGGAGCAAGTCCATCTCACACATTGTAGCACGTGTAAAGTGTCAATCATTGCTTTCATCAATATGTGTCAGTGTGGATAAAGATTAACATTCTGATTTAGAGGGTCGTAACGATGTAATAACCTGCCTGTTAATTGATCGAATAGATTGTTGGCATAGTTTGATTGGCTGCCTTGGCGTTTGAGCAGTTCATTGATCCGGTTTCTGTACAGCTATTGTGGAAACGTTCATTATTAACTTTAGTGTTAATCAGTATTTTTCTCCACTGAAACTCTGCTGTGATAAAAACAAAACATAACTTTACCGATAACTGATAAGATCATTTTGTCCACATTTTTCCAGCCGTCTGAGTCCATATTTTCTTTCTTTGGCAATCTCTGCCTTTACATTGAAGCAACCAGGTCATGCAGGTAATCAGAGAATGTGTTTACGTGCACTGCAGTGATCTGGTTTCTGTAAAGCTGCACATACATGCAGCACGTCAGTAATACGCTTTCTCTCCGACCTTATTCTAAAAGCATAGCTCACTGATTTGAGCTGCATTAGTGTCATTCTGCAGTTACTTCCCCAGTTTACCCACACAGGAGGAATAAATCAGCATCATTTAGGACGAATCTATCAAGTTCCTCTACTCCTGTGTGATGGAAACCAGGTTTCTTGTTCACATGATGTTTAAAATAATCCTCCTACTGGAGAAAGCCGACTGTTTCCTGATGGGTTCCTTGTTTACCGGTTGATTGTGACTGACAGTGTGAGTATGACAGTGGAACATCTGGGCAGTGCAGAGGGGTCGAATAAAATGTATAATGAGAAACGTACAAAGCTGATAATATATGCACACATTCTCTTTACTCTGAGCTTTTATCTCCTGATCAATATTTTTTTAACAAGCTGCACAAAACTTTCTAATTCTAATAAAGAGTTATATTGTACTTATTTGTCATAGTATATTTTACAGTATTTTATTGGAGTTTTTTCGCTTTTTATGTTTTTAACTTTTGCAGTACTTTGCCTGTATTTTTATTTCCTCTGAATATTTTAATCTTTGCACCAAACACCAAAGCAAATTCCTCATAAGTGAATAACCGACTTTGCAATAAACCCGATTCTGAACATGTCAATTCATAAACTTAGAACTAACTTATCCAGAGTTTCCACACTGAAGTACACACTGAGAAGTGTGGAAACGACTGCAGGAACCTTAGAAAGGTTTGTGAAAACACAGTTTCACTGCCCTCATAAGCGTGTAAGCTGTGTTTTCATATCATCTCGCGTGTATAATTGTTATAAATTTGATCACACTGACCTCTGTGGTTATCACTGAGCATGAATCAAGCCGATGACGTGGTGAGAAGTCTGTTGTGGTTATTTGTTCAGCACACAGAGCAGCCGGAGGGCTTCTGCTCTCTAATCAGTGTGTTCCTTTATTTTCCATTCCTTCCTATCTGCCCACCACTCCAGGTGTGTCGGGGGGGAAGTTCTTCACTTTGAACTCCAGGAGGGCCCTTCCCCCCCCCCCCCCCACCCGACTGTGTTTCAACATGCTGGGACGTCCCACCTGTCTCCCTGCCCTCTCCTTTTTTCCCCCCACAATCCCCCTCCTCCTCCTTTCCATTCTCCACCACTCCTCCTCCTCCTCCTCCTCTTCCCTCCTAAAAACACTGACTCTTTGCGTCCTCGCTCCAACAATTACCCTCCTTCACAGCCGAGAGATAAGTAACGCGGGGGGGGCAGGATGTGTTCTCATGCATTTACAGGATCGGAGGTAGTTGTTGGTATGTCGGGGTTTTTTAGCGTTACTGTAATTATGCTGACAGCAGGAGTTCATCATTATCCTGCATGGGAACCAAACCGTCTCCCTGCAGAGAACCATGTTTCAGGCTTTTTGAGAGAGATTACCAGTTGCTGTGAGACACAAGTGGTGATTTTGTAAAGTGCACGGCAGCACATTTTTATTCCTTTTAAAACTTTTGGTAAAAAGGAGACAGAGATATCTGAATGAGTTGAACTGTTTTAGGGTCAGAATGAATTCAGAACATCACTGGATACAAAGAGCCTCCACTTTAATCTGGTTGCATATCTGTTTCAGGATTAGAAGATCTGTAAAGCTCTTTTTTTAGCGAGAGAATTTTGAATCTACTGATTTGCACAACTAGTAAATAAATACAATCTTCAAAAAGTTCAAGTTTCACTTGAAGCAGCTTTATGTAGCTGTGATCAGAGAGAAGCTTCCAACTTATCAGCAGCAGAAGACAGTTGATCATTAATCACAATACATAGCGGTGAGGTGGGGAAGTATTTAAAATGTTTAAATAACTATAAATGTTTATTTTCTTTGATTCTGCAGATGTTCTGCACATGAAAGACATGCATCTAAAAAGTCTAATGTCTCAAACTTTTAAAAAACTCAAATGGTTCAAACTCTGGCAGAGGTCAGGCCTCGGGGAAGAGGCCACCTCTCGTCTGTCGAGGCCTGAAGCCAAAACACTACAAACTTTAAAAATTAAAGCTGCTCACAAGCCAGGATGTGAGAAACCTGCAGCGGCGTTTTAAAAGAACATGAAACAAAAAAAGCACATCTCAGAGCAACACCCCCGAATGTTCACCAATCCCCGGCAGAACAAAGCTCATCACACAAACTTCTTTGTTAACTTTGAAAAGAGCCTAACCTTCAGTGCAGCGGCGGCGGCAGCGGCTCTTCTTTTAGCTTCCGAGGCCCGCCGCCGCCTCCGAGCTTCATCCGGCTCTCTCTCATCGCCATTATCATCCACAAAGTCAGTATGAGGCATGCATTATAGATGAGACACATCTTCTTGGCTACATCTACGCAGCAGTTCCTCCTGATAATACACACCCCTTTCACCACCTATCTCTGCACACACACACACACACACACACACACACACACACACACACGGCTCCCAACCGTCAGTCAAGCTAACATGGTGGTGTCCCCTGTGAATAAAACATGAGCAAATACCCATTAGGCTTCACAGACGGACCCGAGATCCTAATTCTGTGAGCGGATGGGAAAGAAATCTTAACCAGCGATAACAGAGACGGTGAGATAGGACGAGACGGGACGGCTGCACCTACCGCATACAGCGATCCCTCGAAGACACAAGCTCCTAGGATGAATGAGAGGGGAAGAGAGATACAGCATTAGAGTCCAGTCATGATCACAGGGATTATGTAAATCTCTTCCTGTAAGCCCTTAATGGCATGTGTGTCGCTGTCACACTCACAGAGAAAAATGGTGACTAAGCAGATTCTGAATCCCAGTTGGGGAATAATCTCAGAACAAATAATCAAAATCTCCTCGACTCTAAGCGACGCCGCGCTTTAAAAAGGTCACATTGATTTAGTTTGACTAGTTCGATTGTAGCGTGTTCCTTTGCCATGAAGTCCTGCTTTCTTTCAGTTATAGGTTCCTTTCACACCTGCAGTTTGTCGCAGAAATGTTCCGGGACATTTGCACCGTTGGGCTCGAGTGTGAACGGGAGCAGGGATCCATACTCAGGGGAACTTGCGTAACGCCAATTCACCACCTTCAGTTCTCAAAACATTTCAGGGAGAATGGCGGTACGGCAACTTGGTTAAGTTTAGTGAAAAAACACCATGGTTTGACTTAAAAGGAGTACGAAAAATGAAACAAAAGAAGAACAAAAAATGCGACCTTGGTACGGTTTAGTAAAAAACAGTGGTTAGCATTTTGCTAATGCTAGCAGGAACATTCCCACAAACCTGCAGGTACTTTATCTAAAAAAAACTCACATTAAAAATACTTATTTCATAATAAGAACACTTAAATCATTGACTATGACTTACTGCTGTACCTGAACACCTGATGTCACAACTCCCAATCAGAATTCAGTATCTTTTCTCTTTCAAATTTAGCATCCACCCACATTTATAATGCACCGTATCATGTTATAGGGCTTCCAATAAATCAAATACGTGACCTTCAGACTGAATTGGCAGAGCCCTGGTGATTATTTCTGCTCAATTTGAGGGATAAATGTTAAGAAAACACGGACAGACGGACACGCGCATGACAGCCAGCCTGAGGTCTGAGCCTCACGAAGCCAGACTGGAGCAACGTGAGACGGCTCAGGTGGAAAAGAACAGCAAGAGGTAAACATTTAGCACAAAACAAGAGCACAGCGACAGTTTTTACTTGAGTTAAAGAGTGAATCCTAGTTAAAAATACATATTTTAAACACTAGTTTGGAGTTACTCCAAAAGAAGCCAAAAGAGAACTGTTGCAGTTTCAAGCTTGCAGTTTTTCGATTCCCCTTTTTTTGTTAAACATACTTTCACTCCACATATTTTCATGTTTTGTCACATCGTTTGACGGGAGGGAAAGAACTCCCAGAAAATTCTAAAAAAGTCTAACTTTTAAATGGAGGTTTGGCACACGGTGGAAGAGGATTGAAGCGTCGTCAGAAAGGTTGCTCGTTATTTGTTCAGATCATTTTCGAAAGAGGATACTTTACTAAATTCTCACGATATTACACTCTTCTGATGGCATTTGTTGTGATCGAGCCTCATCAGCTCGTGATAACCTGAGTGAGTTCACTCCTCTCAGCCTTGAAAGATAAAAGGCATCAAAGAACATCACAAAAATGAGGAAATATGTCGGCCTGCACACATTTATTTACCACGTTTTACATTTAGAGGAAGTTCGATGATGAAGCTTTCATGGCAACTCTCAGCTTCCGTAGAGAAAAACGAGCGCCCTCCACCTGAGAGGATCTTTGCTTCTGTTCTACATCATGAGGTGGAGATTTAACCGTTTATGATGTCGCTAAGAACCAGTTCGTACTCAAAACTGTCCGATTCATCCTCCTGTTGTGTTTGAGTCTCAGAAAGCACTGATTTGCTGATTTGAACGTGAAAAGTGGGAAACATTTTGTTGAAAACTAAATGTTTTTTACGGTTGTTTCAACAGTTATTCAGGGATTATGTTTGAATTTGTAGGTAAGACTTGCCTTACATTGAATACAGTCATTTAAATGCAACATTTTGATGTATCTTAGACATTTAAAAACACCTGATTTAGACAATGTTTCCTCTTTGGACCTGTAAATCACCAAAGCAGTGCTTGCTGCTTGCAGTCACACTTCACAGTCTAATTTAAAGAGGATTCATGCTGGAAAACGTTCAATCACTTCCTTCATTATGAACCAAAACAACCCGATATGAGTGAGACCATAACCTGGTTGGGTTATAATATTCATGATATTCATGACTGCAGAGGAACGTGAAGAGAAGAAGCAACACGTGAGGTAAACTTCAGAGCAGAGAGTCCTCTCTCTTCATCTCAGCATGCGTCCAATCCATCGGGCGCCACTTAACGTCGATAACATTTCAACTCTCATAACTACTCTGCCTCTGGTCGCCGACGCCAACGTGCTCTGTAGTCGGCGGAAGGAGCATCTTCATAAAAGTTTGAATTTTATTGAAGCAAGTGCTGCCAAGCAGATTGGACGCATGCCGAGCTGGATGAGAGAAGATGCTGCTATAATCATTTTATTGGTTTTAAAAAAACTAAAGAATAAACAACCGTGAGCAGAGAAACATTCACCTGCAGCTCTGAACGTTGGTCCCCTGCAGGTACCCGACTGCGAGGTTAACAAGCGGTGGGTTTGATGTGAGCAGCAGGGAGGTGAAGCCTTCAGCGGGTCAGTTAAGTAACAGCTGCTTTAGATTCAGATCCTGACAGCGGGCTCGTGCGTTAGAGCTCCTCTGATGGGAATACTGGAGCCGTGCACGGCCCAGACCTTTTACAATTGATGCCGAGTAATGAATATTTAATAAGAATAAAAAAAAGAAAGGCACAGAGGCCGGTTTCAAAGAAGTGTTTTGGGTATTTAGGAAGCGGTGAGAATGCACAACAGGTGGACTCAAGACAAGAAGTTCACTCCATCTGTTCACGTTCATCTGCAGAAATAATCAGCAGGTTATAGTCTCACTCACAGGAGATCATTTTGGTTCATAATAAAGCAAATAACTGAACGTGTTCCAGCACGGATCCTCTTTAAAGTAGTGCAACGGCACTTCTATCACACAAAGCATCGATTTGGTGATCTGCAGGTCCAAAGATGAAGACTTTATGCAAAACAAAGTGTTTTTAAATGTGTAAGATACATCAATCTGTTGCATTTAAATGACTGGATGAATGTGAGCCAAGTCTTACCTAGAAGTTCAAATATAATCACTTAAAAACTGTTTAAACAATGAATCAATGAAATGCATCCAAGTTTTCACCTGCAGATCAGTAAATCAATGCTTTCTGAGACGCAACAGGACGAAGAATCTGAGTATGTGTACAAGCTGGTTCTCCTCCAGAATCATAAAGAGTTAAATCTCCACTTTCATGATGTTAAATGAATCGTGAGAGAGTCTAGTTGTGGGGGATTGTAGTGAAGAAGTTACAGTTTACGTTTTTTTGCCAAAAGTAGAAGTTTGACTTCACTTCTGTCTCTCTAAGAATGGATTTGCAAAATATGTGAAGACTTCTTATCAAATGTGGGTTAAGTAGGTTTTTAATACATCTAGGACACAGACGTCCGACTCAAGGTAGAGATATAGTCTCTGAAATGCTGTTTAACCATAAAAACATTCACCTTTTAGTTACATTTAGATTAGTTTTAACCTGGAGATCACCTCAGCATGCTTTCTAGACACATCTGATGAGGAGTGCTGCACAGTTCAAATCTCCTGCAGATCAGCAATGCTTCACTCAGAAATTAAACTTTTAAATTCACTACTTTTCTCTCCTGGGGAAATTCAGCAAAATCAGCAAGAAGCAGGAGTTGCACCGATTTAAATGAAACAAGGGGAAGGGCTCCCCAGAGCGGGGTCCCGGCCCCCTCCAGGGGTCCTTGAGGGACTTCCAGGGAGTCCTGGGAAACTTGAGGAATAGATTCACTGCTGCCTTATTAATGGAAGCTGTTCCAGATAAAAGACTGCAAGACCTCCCTGAGCAGCCTGGACACATTTCTGCTTCAGTGCTGGAAAAGGTGGCCAATAAGGAAGTAAATGCCACAGTGTGGGGTGTGAGGCTCTACCGGGGGTCCCTGATAACCCCTGACCTACATAACAACTGGTTTGGTTCAGAAAAAGAAAGCAGAAATACCAACCGTGTATCGGAGTGGAGCCGGTGAGGATCCCAGTCAGAGCGCCGACAAACATCCACCATGCATGCACCATGGTCGCAGCCAAAGAAGAGCTTTAAATCCCCCAAAAAAGCAAAAAGAAAACGCGCGCGATGTGTTCCGTGTTTATCTCTCGAGCTCGGAATCAAAGCTCTCACGGTGCATTATGCATGTCCCGGTGTAGCAGAGAAAACAACCAGCGGAGGAGAGATCCAGGGGGGGAGGAACCGGGGAGACGGAGCGCACCGGGTCCGACTCCTGAGCGCTGCGCTCCGGGCTGGAATGCGGTGCAGTCCCCCGAAACCTGGAGAAGTATAATATCCACCTCCTCCTCTCTTCCGTCTCTCCGCCTGCTCGCTGCTCTCTGGCACTAATGAATCTCCAGAAGCAAGGTGCTCCGTCTCCCTCTCGCTCTCTCTCTTTTCCCCACTCTCTCTCTCTCTCTCTCTCTCT